GGCAGGTTTGTTTTTGTTGGCCGGTGGCGCTTGCCAAGGGCCGTTTCTGCGGTGCCGAGGCCGTCTGCTCCAGCTGATAAAAATACGTGTTGGGGCTGAGTCATGTTTGAATCCGGCACCAGCTCGGGGAGGACGTGTGAGGCTTTGCGTGACGATGACAACCCGCTTCGGTACCCGCACGGTCCTTCCCACGCTGCTGCCCGCTTTGCTGCCGCGGCTGCTCATCCCTGCGCCGCAGCCCCGGCCGGGATGGCAGCCCATCCCCGCCCAGCTTGGCTCCCTCAACATGTCATCCAGGGCTATAATAAAATAATAATAAAAAAAAGAATATAAATGAAGTATTTAAGTTCCTGGGCTTATTGATGGTGTTCAGCAACGGGGTCAGTGTACGTCCCTCATCCCAGTAACACATTTATGTTAATAACTGTACAACAACCTGTTTTAACCAAGAGTAAAACTATTAGAAGCATCAATATTTTTTCCCTAATGAGTAATGTTACCTTCAAGGTATACAGGAGACCATTAGAAATAAAATTACAGTGTTAACGCAACAAATGTGACCCTCCTGGGGCAGAGCGAGGTGGCACAAGCCCGGAGGAGCCCCGCGGTGGGACAGGCAGGAATCGCCTTTTGCAGAAGTAATAGCTGCAAATTTCCCGCTGCCTCTTATTATAAGAAAGGCGACGACGCCAAGTTCAAAAGCAACCCGAGCCCTTATAAAAAGGACTGTGATTTCATATCGCTGAGCCCCGCAGGATTCGTTAGAAAATGCTAATTTGCTTGTTCCAGCCACGGGGCACCCCTGAATCCATGGGGGATTCCTCTGCCCGTCCCAGGCTGATAAAGCAGCTGACGGCTGCAGGACACGGATGGCAATTGCAGCCTCTGGTCCAGGGGGTGCCGAGCCCTTTGCTCCCCCGAACTGCGCCGGGCTGGGATTTGGGGACCGCAGGGAAGTTTTACTTAGCCAAAGTCTTTTTAATTTGTAAGGAAATTGGTTTCTCTTCCCAGCGGGAGATACGATCTTTAAATGCAGCCGCTGGAAAATTGCATTTTTCTAATTGTCTTTATTTTTTTGGTGGGGGGCTGGTTTTTTTGGGGGTTTTTTTTTTTTTTTTGACATTATTCTCACTATATCACTCCTGCGGGGACTCTCGGCTCAGCGCAGGTCGGGGCGGTACCTGTGGGCACACGGGCTGGGCACAGCGGGCACCGACACCACCTGAGTTGGGTTCTCAGCATCTTTGGTCCCCTCATCCATCCGCCCAAGAGCTGAGGAAGGAGCGGGTGGGCTCAGCCCTGGCTCCCACGGGGGCACCCAGCCCCTTCAGCACAGGTGCCAACCGTAACCACGACCCTTAACCTCCCGGGTGCTCTCGTGCCACGCAATATTTTTTTTCATGCAGGAAATGAGAAAAAAAACCCCAAACCATTTCCTCTTTTACTCCCACGAGAGCTCTGCCCCGGCCGGAGGGGCTGAAGGACCCCCAGGGCACCGGCAGCACCCCGCTTATTTTGCAGCCAGGGCCACCCTCCTTCCTGCGGGTGCCGGGAGCCTCCCCGGGGAGCAGTGGGGTGTGGAATTTTGGGGTGCAGAGGCCGGGAACCGTCCCAGGGTCCTTTTCTCCAGCAGATGGAGGCCTTGCCTTGCTTCCACCGCCCCGCAGGCTCCCAGTCTCCATCCCAGTCCCATGCTGGGAAAGTCGGGACTGGGGAGGGGGCTGGCAGGGGGGCGGGCCAGCCACTGAGCCTGGAAGGAGGGAAATAGGGGGGTTCGGGGAGATGTAGCAGCCCCTTTGCTGGGGACACAAGGCCAGAGGGTCCCCAGCCAGCTGGGCAAGGGGACACCGGCATGGCCGAGCTCCTGGTGGGCGATGGCAGCTCAGCAAAGGGCAGGGACGGCCTCGCATGGTGTAGGGTGTCCCCTGGGGCTGACGGGATGGGGAAAGGGACCAAGAGGGTCACTTCAAGGGGACCCCCCCCTCCTTAAGTGCCACTGGCTGCTGCCCCTCAGCCCTACTGCGGTGCCCCTCCGTGCCTCAGTTTCCCCAGGCAGAGAGTTGGGGCGCAGACCCCCCCCGTGCCGCGTTTCTGGTGTCATCAGAGGGGTTTAGCCCTGTGTGTACACACACGTGTGCGCACACTCCTCCGTCTGTGTGTGAATCCTTTTAACACCTTCCCACCACCCCCCCTCCGCAATTCCCCTGCAGCAGGAGGTGAGGCGCCGCCTTTGCACCCTGCGGCTTCAGGGCATCCTTATAAACACCCTATTAATAATTAATAATAGATTAATAGCAGTGGCAGTTTGTTAACACAGGCGCATTAATCATTTATCAGTTATTAATATGGACTTTAGTACCCGCTGTAAGTCGGTTTAGCACCGTTTATGAATGGGTTTGCAGGGCTGACGGTGGTGACGGGCTGCAAACCCGCTGCTGACACCGTTTCCAGCCACCGCTGCTTTAAACCAGTGGGATTTGCTTCCACTTCGTTCGTCACACGTGGAGGAATCTCATTTCTAAAGGGGGTTGGTCAAACGTCATTAAACCCTGGCTGGACCCCGCTCTTTGGCATCCAGAGGGTCTTTGGCTGCGGCAAGGGATGCCCCGGGGCGCTGCGCTTCCGGCTTCACCCCACCTCCAGCCCTCCCAGTCTGGCTTTTCCTGCTGGTTTTCTGGGAAGGATGATCATCCTAAACTGAGCTTTGGGGTTTTAACATTTGTCTGAACCCCGGGACTGCCTCGGGCTTGCACCGGGCTGGAACAGGTCTGGAGAGCACCAAGGCACAAATCCTGCACATGGCGCGAGTGGCTCCGACAACCCTTTCCGCGTCCTGCCCAGCTCCACGCTCG